TGCTCCGAGCAAAGGTATTTCCACACTCCATGCATTTATATGGCTTCCCTCCTGTGTGGATCTTTTCATGAATTGTAAGTGTATTGCTATGAGCAAAGTTCTTTCCACACTCCATGCATTTAAATGGTTTCTCTCCTGTGTGGATCTTTTTGTGCCTTTTAAGATTACTGCCACGATTAAACGTCTTTCCACACTCCATGCATTTAAACGGCTTCTCTCCTGTGTGAATCTTTTTGTGAATACCAAGTTTACTGCTGAGAGCAAAGATCTTTCCACATTCCAGGCACTTAAATGGCTTTTCTCCAGTATGGATCTTTTTGTGAATTTCAAGTTTACTGCTGAGAGCAAAGGTCTTTCCACACTCCATGCATTTATATGGCTTCTCCCCTGTGTGGATCTTCTTATGGGAAATAAGATTACCTCTTTGGGCAAAGGTCTTTCCACACTCCATGCATTTATATAGTTTCTTCCCTGTGTGAATCCTTTTACGGATACTAACTTGTCTGCTTGTTCTAAAACATTTTCCATATTCAAAACATTTATAAGGCTGCTCTTTTGCATCAACCACTTTTTGAGATGTAAGGAACTTATTCCCAAGAGAAAGAAAGAACATCCCATTGGAATTCTCTCCGTTGTGTCTTGTTATAGCATCTTCTCTTTTGTTTTGGGTTAAATAGTGTTCATTTACTTGTACTTTAGCTTTGATTAGCTTCACACTATTTCCAGGATATTTTTTACATATTTTCTCTTTTTGGACAAGAAAGTCTTGCATTGGAGCATCACTGGCAGATAAGCTTTCCTAAGTCCAAATATTTGACTGGTTTCTCTCATGATTTTCTAATTCCATTTGAATTCCAAACTTCTCTGTTCCATCTTTAGCACTGATCACTTGGAACAGTTCACAGGAATCTTGATTCTCCTGCCTATTCTTGATTCTCCTGCCTTCAAAACAAAAGGGAAATGAAAATGATAACAATGTTGGAGAAAAAGTTCAAAGTGAATTTCCTTCTGAATTTCTCCGAAATTCCATTAGGTTGTATGCTTGCATGCCTACAGTGGTGTGATATAGACATAACAGATAACAGATAGTCAGAGTTGGAAGGGTCCTTGTAGGTCATGTAGCCCAACCCCCAGCCCAAGCGGGAGACCCTACACCATTTCTGACAAATGGCAGTCCAATCTCTTCTTGAAAGTCTCAAGTGATGGCGCTCCCACAACTTCCGACGGCAAGGTGTTCCATTGGTTGATTGTTCTCACTGTCAGAAAGCTTCTCCTTATTTCCAGGTTAAATCTCTCCTTGTTTAGTTTCCATCCATTATTCCTTGTCTGGCCTACAGGCGCTTTAGAAAATAGCTTGACCCCCTCCTCCTCTCTGTGGCAGCCCCTCAAGAATTGGAAGACTACTATCATGTCTCCCCTGGTCCTTCTCTTTACTAGACTAGCCAAGCCAAGTTCCTGTAACTGTTTTTTGTATGCTTTAGTCTCCAGTCCCCTTATCATCCTGGTTGCTCTTCTCTGTACTTTTCCTAGACTCTCAACATCTTTTTTATAATGAGGTGAACAAAACTGGATGCAGTACTCTAGATGTGATCTTACTAAGACTTTATAGAGTGGTATCAGTACCTCTCTTGATCTTGATTGTATCCCTCTGTTTATATAATTTAGGATTGCAATAGCTTTTTTGGTTGCTGATGCACACTGCTGGCTCATATTTATCTGGTTGTCCACTAAGACTCCAAGATCCCTCTCACAGTTACTGCTATTGAGCTTGGTTTCACCCAGTCTATATGTATACTTTTGGTTTTTCTTGCCTAACTGTAGGATAGAGATAAATCCCTTGCTTGAAGCCTCCCATTGTCTTGAAAATGCTCTTCGCACTGAGACTGGAAAGGTTGGGATGCTTCAAGAATGGCTATTTTGCTTCCACAAAGTCTCATTGGCTTGAAAGGGCTCTTTGGCCAGATCTGGTGCAGATGTCAGTTCACATAGAATGAAGGCCTAAAGTACTTTAGTGCAAGATCACACGAGACCAGTAGTACAAGATCTCAGGCTACTAATTTTGCATGATCTTGCACCGCAGTACTTTAGGCCTGTGTTCTTTTAAGAACTGAGGACTGCACGAGATCCAGAGCAAAAATCTTTGAAAATGAAGAGCCCTTCCTTCTCTTTGCAAAGTCTTTTGCCCTAGATCTCATGCAGGCCTTGGTAGCAGAGAACAGAAGCCTAAAGCACTGTAGTGTGAGATCATGTGAGATCAATAGTGCTAGATTTTCCATTACCAATCTCATGTATCTCTCACTACTTTAGACTTCTTTTTTCTGCAAATTCACTGAAACAGGCAAAGGAAGGATGACTCAGCATATCATTGCAAGGTACCGTATATTTTGGACCATAAGATACACCTCAAATGAGAAAAAAAATAGCTTTTGCCCACTCGTTTTTGCCCTCCCTGGCATCCAGAAGCACTCTGCAGTCCAAAAATGGGCCTACCTTTGGCCTCTGGATGCCTCCGCCGGTCCTGCAGGAGGCCAAAAACAGGCCCATATTCGCTCTATAAGATGCACAGACATTTCCAGCCACTTTTGTTTTTCTGGGGGCGGGGGAGTGCATCTTATAGTCTGAAAAATATGATAAGTCCAGGCAGGGTGGGGTGGGGGAATAGGTAGGGCGAATGTTGCAGTGCCTTTGCTGTCATTCGTAAGCTTGAACGATGGCCGTGGTGCTGCAACACTCATAATTTTGGGACTGGGTCCCAGGACATGGGGTCTGGTCAAAACTTGGAATGGTCACTAAGTGAACAGTCATAACTTGGGGAGTACCTGTACCCTAGGATGCTCTGAGTCACATTGCCTGAGGCCTTTGCTCTTGAATTGGTCTGGGAGAATGCTTTTCCATGGCCTCAGCATGAAAGTTCTGTTCTCACACGATTTGGGGAAGTTTCAGAGGACAAATGACAACACACTCCTCTCACACGACCTCAAGAGGACACATAAAAAGACACCTCATTCTTTTCAGCCTCCACAGATAAGTTCCAATAGAAATGGAAAAATCCAGATAAGAAATGGTACAGAAAGAATCTAAGCAAAGAGACATTGACTCTTTCCTTCCTTGGAGCATGAGAAGGCCACATTCTTTTCTTCTCCTTCCCAGAGACAATATCTGATTACTTTTTTTTTAATTAAAAACCTAACTATAATTTCTCTTCTTGAACTCTGATTGGGGACTAGAAAACTCTTACCCAGAGAGACCACGTTCCTATGGTTTTCAAGCATGACTTCCGAATGCAGCGCTTTCTGGTCAAGATCCAGCTGAGACCATTCCTCCTCAGAGAAATACACAGCCACCTCCTCGAAGGACACAAGACCCTCCTGGACATGGAAAAAAACAGAACCAGAGGCTTTCCAAGATCTGTTCATCTTCATCATTGATTTAGACAAGAGGATAGAAGGGGAACTCATCAATTTTGCAGACAAGACCAAATTGACAGGAATACCAACATTCCAGAAGATAAGCTCAGATATACAGAAGGATCGACAGATTGGGCCCCATCTAACAAAATGAAATCAACAGTGAGAAATGTAAGGTTCTACGTTTAGGAAAGAAAAACCAAATGCACTGGCATAGAATAGCGGATACCTGGCTCAAGTGTAGTAAGTGCAACAGGTATTTCAGAGTTCTAGTAGACAACCACTTAAACATGAGTCAGTACTATGCTACAGTTGCCCCCCCCTCCAACCTCCAATAGAATAATAGGCTACATTAAGATGGATAGAATCAAGAAGATAAGAAAGAGCAACAAAAATTATTAGTGGACTGGAGGTTAAAACATATAAACGGTTGCTGGAATTGGGGATGTCTAGTTTCATGAAAAGTAGGACTAGGGGACACATGATAGCTGAGTTCCAAGAAGCAATGGATGGAAACTATTCAAGGAAAGAAACAACCTATAAGTAAAGAAAAATTTCCTGACAGAGAGAACAATTAATCAGCCTTCCCTCCAAGAATTGTGGGTGCTCCAACACTGGTGGTGTTTATGAAGAAATTGGACAGCCATTTATCTGATATGTTATAGGGCTTCCTGTCTGAGCAGGGGGTTGGACTAGAAGACCTCCGAGATCTCTACCAATTCTGTTATTCCATTCCATTGTTCCCAAATTCCCAAAGCAGAGATATGCACTAAGTTAAATGGCTGTGTGTCACACAAGTCCTAATTTTAGGTGAGCAAATAGGCAAATTTTAGGTGAGCAAATTGCTTTGAGTGCAGAAATATTTGGGGAAGTTTTATCAACTTCATTGATTCTGCAAAACCTTCAGTGCCTTTCAGCAAAGTAATCCCACTTCTCTATCAACTGATCTATCGTTCTGTCTGAGCCATTGGCTGAAAGGAAGAAAAGAAAGAAGATAAAATTCCCTGGGAAAGTCATTTCTCAGCCATTGCAAAGGGGAAATGTTTGGTCTCCTAATTGAGGCACAAATCAGAGGATTGGAAATTATTTTGTAGCCCAAAGTACCGTGATTACATGCTCAACACAGCCACTCCCTTTGGATTTTAATAGTCTGCTTTGTTTTTTAATACAATTTATTTATTTTTGAACTATGGGTTATAAATAAGGCTACTTAAAAATGATAATGTGGCAATATGAGTATTTATTTATTGTTCATTAGCCTTGCACAATTCCAAGTCAAGGAATTACCAAAAAAAATATATATATGGGTCTCTAACAGTTCCTGCCACTGTGGTACGTTTATTCCTATTTCTTGAAGGACCTTTAAAAAACTGCTTGTTGTAAACTACAACACGGAGGAGAACCTAGCAGAACAAGATAACCAGTGAAAACTATGCTGGCCGACAGCAACTTGAACCCGCTATTCTGCTCTCCATGTTTTGGAAAAACACAAAAATATTCCAGGCCAAACAAGGGGGGAATAGAAGGAAAGAGCCCTCTGCCCACCCGCTTCACTTCCTGAAGGGAGAATAGAAATCTAATAACTTTTCCCTTTCTTACTTGATTTGGAGGTTCAACCGCTGGTTGCTCTCCGTCATAAAAACCTGAAGATTTCATTCTTTGTTTCTCTGTAAGGAATAATTTCAAAATGCATAATTAGCAAAATAGGAGATGATTTAGTTTTAGTTTAGTTTACCTTATTGTCATTGTACCTCATACAATGAAATCAAGCACCATCTTCAGTGTACATCACGAGCATGAAAATAAACACAAACCCACATCCTTCGCACTCCACACATTGAACTGAAAACCCCCAACACTGCACCAACACTGCACTATATAGTAGAATTCAAAAGAGCTACTACCCTGGGATAGAAGCTATTTGTGCTTGTTTTTATTATTCTGTACTGTCTGCCAGATGGTAACAGTTCAAAAAAAAAAGGGTGCCCAGGATGAGATGGATCTTTGAGGATGTTTTGAACTTTCTTAAGGCAGTGGGAGCTATAAAGCTCTTCCAAAGAGGGGAGAGAGCAACCAGTGATCCTCTAGGCAATGACGTTAACCCTCTGGAGTTCTTTCCTATCTGCTTCTGTGCAATTGGCAAACCATACAGAGGTGCTTCACACTGGTATTTTATAGAAGAGAAGAGAGAGGGAAGGTAAGACAGATGGGGAATTGGAGGATCCTCCATTACCTCCTGAGGTGTCCTGACTTTGATCTTCCCAAGGGATCCTCCTGAAAAATAGCTCCTGAGGGGGACTTGATGGGTTCT